TTGGTAGAGGCTGGGTTTCACCTTGTCAGTCAGGCTGGTCTTGACCTCCTGACTACCTCAGCCTCCCAAAGTGCTGGGATTACAGGCATGAACCACCGCACCCAGCAATTATTTCTTTATTTATTCATTTATACTTTTGAGAGAGCTCACTCTGTCACCCAGGCTGGAGTACAGTGGTGCAATCACTGCTCACATCAGCCTTGACTTCCCCATACTCAGGTAATGCTTTCACCTCATCCTCTAGAGTAGCTGGGACTATAGGCATACTCCACCATACCCAGCTAATTTTTGTATTTTTTGTAGAGACAGGGCTTTGCCATGTTACCCAGACTGGTCTTGAACTCCTGGGCTCAAATGATCCTCCTACCTTAGCATGCGTCCATCTCCATCTCCCAAAATGCTGGAATTACAGGCATGACCCACTGCTCCCAGCATAATTTAGTTTAATGACTAAGTGCCAGTCATACTCAGTGGTGAAAACAAATACAAGAAATATAATCAGAAGACAGACATTTAAAAATACAGGCTGGGTACAGTGCCTCATGCTTGTAATCCCAGAACTTTGGGAAGCCTAGGTAGGAGGATTGCTTAAGCCCAGGCTTGAACTCAAGCTTGAACTCGCTTGAGTTTGAGACCAGCCCAGGTAACATAGCAAGATTTCATCTCTATATATAAAAGAAAATAGAAAGAAAAATGGTAAATTGAAAAAAAAAAAAAAAAAAAAAGAACTGGGTGCAGTGTCTCACACCTGTAATCCCAGCACTCTGGGAGGTGGAGATGGGTGGATCACCTGAGGTCAGGAGTTTGAGACCATCCTGACCAACATGGTGAAACCCTATCTCTACTAAAAACACAAAAAAATCTGGTGAGGTGAGGTGGGTCACTCCTGTAATCCCAGCACTTTGGGAGGCCAAGGAGGGCAGATCACGTGAGGTCAGGAGTTTGAGACCAGCCTAGCCAACATGTTGAAACCCTGCCTCTATTAAGAATACAAAAATTAGCCAGTGGTGGTCCACGCCTGTAATCCCAGCTACTCCAGAGGCTGAGGCAGGAGAATTGTTAGAATGTGGGAGGCAGAGGTTGCAGTGAGCTGAGATCATGCCACTGCACTCCAGCCTGGGCAACAGAGTGAGACTCTGATTCAAAAAAAAAGAATTTTCCTTCTAATGGGCTACATGGCTTTTCCATTCAGAACTGGGCCTTTCAGGCCAGGCACAGTGGCTCATGCCTGTAATCCCAGCAGTTTGGGAGGCCAAGGTGGGCAGATTACAAGGTTAGGAGATTGAGACCAGCCTGGTATGGTGAAACCCTGTCTCTACTAAAAATACAAAAATTAGCCAGGCATGGTGGTGGGTACCTGTAGTCCCAGCTACTTGGGAGGCTGAAGCAAGAGAATCACTTAAACCCAGGAGACAGAGGTTACAGTGAGCTGAGATCTCACCACTGTACTCCAGCCTGGGCACTCCAGCCTGGGTGACAGAGTGAGACTCCGTCTCAAAAAAAAAAAAAAAAAACCAAAAAAAAACCAAAACTGGGCCTTTCAGATAAATGTATAATTAACTTAGCTATGTATTTATTTATTTATGTATTTATTTATTATTTTTTTGAGATAAAGAGTTTCGCTCTTTTTGCCTAGGCTGAAGTGCAGTGACACGATCTCAGCTCACTGCAACCTCTGCCTCCTGGCTTTAAGCGATTCTCCTGCCTCAGCCTCCCAACTAGCTGGGATTACAGGCGCCTGCCACCACACCCAGCTAATTTTTGTATTTCTAGTGGCTGGTCTCAAACTCCTGACCTCAGGTGATCCACTGGCCTCAGCCTCCCAAAATTCTGGGATTACAGGCATGAGCCACCGTGCTCCGCCTTAACCTAGCTTTTAAAAAGTTAGTGATTTATTGATGGGCATGCAGTGGGTGTCTCTTGGAAATGATCAATTTTTATTAAAATATTTCTGGAAGAAAATAGAAAAAAAGTTAGTGATTACCGTTGCTAACAACCTGAAACATAACTGAATCTTAAGTGTAAAAACAAGCATTTATGGCCGGGCGCAGTGGCCTGTAATCCCAACACTTTTTGGGAGGCCGAGGTGGGTGTATCACGAGTTCAAGAGATCAAGACCATCCTGGTCAACATGGTGAAACCCCGTCTCTACTAAAAATATAAAAAATTAGCTGGGCACAGTAGCGCGTGCCTGTGATCCCAGCTACTCAGGAGGCTGAGGGAGGAGAATTGCCTGAATCCAGGAGGAGGAGGTCGCGGTGAGCGGAGATCGCGCCATTGCACTCCAGCCTGGGTAACAAGAGCGAAACTCCATCTCAAAAAAAAACCAAGCATTTATTGGGCGGGGCACAGTGGCTCATGCCTGTAATCCCAGCACTTTGGGAGGCCAAAGCAGGTGGATCACCTGAGGTCAGGAGTTCAAGACCAGCCTAACCAACATGGTGAAACCCCGTCTATTAAAAAATAAAATAAAATAAATAAAAGAATTTGAGACCAGCCTGGCCAACATGGTGAAACTCAGTCTCTACTAAAACTTCAAAAATAATTAGGGCGTGTTGGCACATGCCTGTAATCCCAGCTACTCAGGAGGCTAAAGCAGGAGAATCACTTGAACCCGAGAGGTGGAGGTTGCAGTGAGCCGAGATCGTGCAGTTGCACTGCAGCCTGGGCAATAAAATTAGACTCCTCCTCAAACAAACTAACAGCTGCAGGGGTGGAGGGGAGGAAAAAATAAGAAAAACAAACAAACCCAAAAATAAAATAACAAGCATTTATCTAAAATAATGCCTCTGAGGCTGTCCTCCTTATCATTTCTTCTTATATGTAACATATTTTCCCTCTTTGTTTTCTCTCTCCCTCTGTGTAAAAATTTGCAACTGTTTCTTCTGCTTTTCTGTCTCTGTTTCTTTTCCTTTGATTACTCTCCTCTGTTCTACCTCTCCCTTTTGTCTTTTGACTTATCAAAATACAGAATTCAAGTGCATTTTAAAGTATACTCGGATTTTTTTGAAGTATTATAATAATTACTGTTGTGTTTTGCTGTTTCTACTTTTAAAAATAGATTAATTGAACCTATTCTGTTATTATGAATAAATTAAATAACTTGCTATTTGGAATTGGCCTTCCATTGTACCCACTCCAACCCCAGCTTCCAGTTATTAAATGACGCCCAGTAGAAGAAAAGATTTCCTACCAAATGCTGTGAAAACAACTATTACATTTGAATTTATTTTTTCTTTATTTTTTTTTTTTTTGAGACGGAGTTTTCTCTCTTGTTTTACCCAGGCTGGAGTGCAATGGCGCGATCTCGGCTCACCGCAACCTCCGCCTCCTGGGTTCAGGCAATTCTCCTGCCTCAGCCTCCTGAGTAGCTGGGATTAAAGGCACGCGCCACAGTGCCCAGCTAAGTTTTTGTATTTTTAGTAGAGACGGGGTTTCACCATGCTGACCAGTATGGTCTCGATCTCTTGACCTTGTGATCCACCCGCCTCGGCCTCCCAAAGTGCTGGGATTACAGGCGTGAGCCACCGCGCCCGGCCCCTGAATTTATTTTTTCTAACAGGAACAATACTAGGAAATCTTTCTAGATTTACACAAATCTCTCCATGTCCAAAGTTCTATACAATTGACCACGATGTTTCATTTCATCAAAAGTTAGTTTTAGGCCAAGCACAGAGGCTCACGCCTGTAATTCCAACACTTTAGGAGTGTGAGGGAGGTGGATCACTTGAGCCCAGGAATTCAAGACTAGCCTGGGCAACATGGCGAAACTTCACCCCTACAAAAATACAAAAAAAAAAAAAAGTAGGCCGGGCGAGGTGGCTCACTGTAAACCCAGCACTTTGGGAGGCTGAGGTGGGTGGATCACCTGAGGTCAGGAACTCGAGACTAGCCTGGTCAAAGTGGTGAAACCTCACCTCTACTAAAATACAAAAAATAGCTGGTCATGGTGGTGGGCACCTGTAATCCCAGCTACTCGGAAGGCTGAGGCAGGAGAATCACTTGAATCTGGGAGGTGGAGGTTTCCATGAGCTGAGATAGCATCATTGCACTCCAGCCCAGGCAACAGAGCAAGACCCAATCTCAAAAAAAAAAACAAAAAAAGTAGCTGGGTGTGGTGGTACATGCCTATACTCCCAGCTACTCAAAAGGATGAGGTGGGAGGATCTCCTGAACCCAGGAGGCGGAGGTTGTTAGTGAGTCAAGATCATGACACTGCGATCCAGCCTGGCCAACAGAGTGAGACTCCATCTCAAAAAAAGAAAAAGAAAAGAAAGAGAGAGAGCTACATAAATGCATTCCCTTTTCCAACCAGATTCTTGCCCCCCAAGGCCTTCTTGGTTTTTTTTTTCTTTTTTTTTTTTGAGACAGTTTCGCTCTTGTTACCCAGGCTGGAGTGCAGTGGCATGGTCTCGGCTCACCGCAACCTCCGCCTCCTGGGTTCAAGCAATTCTCCTGCCTCAGCCTCCCAAGTAGCTGGGACTACAGGCTCGCGCCACCAGGCCCAGCTAATTTTTGTATTTTTAGTAGAGATGGGGTTTCACCATGTTGACCAGGATGGTCTGAATCTCTTGACCTCGTGATCCACCCTCCTCAGCCTCCCAAAGTGCTGGGATTATAGGCGTGAGCCACCACACCCGGCCAAGGCCTTCTTATAGAGAAATTTTATAGCGATTACAGTACAGTTCTATAATGCAAATATAGAAAAGCATGATCATATGAAATCGATATGTTGAAGGAATAGTTACAAAAAATTCTGCTTACAAAGGATTTACTTTGCAGTACTTTTTTTAAAAAAAGCATGTTTTCCTCATCTATAGTTAAATTTACAAATTTTTAAAACAGGTTTTGTTTAGTACATTCCAAATGATTTGGACTTTTCAGAAATGCATCTTCTGGGTAACTAAAATTATCTTTTGTTCCCACATTGTCTGACATAGATGATAATGTCCTAATGCTGCACCTCACAGCTAGTTGTTTGTTTGCCTCTATTTTAACAGCAACACCTCAGACTGAGCTTTCTGTGGAAGAAGTGATCTCAATCAGATCAGGAGCTACCCTCATTGCAACCACGTCACTCCACTTCCACTTCAGATATTTCTCATCTCTAAGTGGGGAGACAAATATGTCACTTACTCTAAGTAAAAGAAAAAATGATCAGGAGGACAAGTTTGAAGATGCCCGTGAAAGTATCCCTGTGGCAACAACAATGAATCTACTATCTTCCTTGGAAGAATGCACCACTGGATTGTATTTATTTCTAAATAACAGATTCTCAGATGCAATAAATCTCATTCATCCATGGTCTAAAAACAGCATGTACCATTCCCTAATGTATGGTTTCTTTATGGTTGTCAAGGCCATCCTGACTTTTGAGCCACAGGATTTACAGATTGGAATGACAGCTGCAAAGGATGCTTTGAACACCTGTAACAATTTCCGAAAAAAAACTAAAATGACATTGTCTCATCTAGTAAGTAAACAGGAAATAACGGCTATCACAGAAGAGGAATTGCATGCAGAAGTCTGTTATGCTGAGTGTTTGATCTTGAAATCCTTCATGTCATTTATACAAGATGAGAGCATGCTTGCTTTCCTTAAAAGCGGGATCAGTGTTGGGTCAAGTTACCAAATATACAAAGACTGTCAACAGGTATTAACGCTGATACCTGACAACCACAGCAAAACCCACAAACACCTGGTTGGAGGTATAAAATTTGGACTTGGAGCATTCAATTTGATGTTATCACTTGTGCCACCAAGGACACTTAAACTACTCAATATTGTTGGATATTCTGGTGATAGAGAAGTGGGCTTATCTTTGCTTCATGAGAGTGCATCTGAAACCCACATAAATAATATCGTAAGTCTTTTGACTCTACTCTTTTATTACAATTATATCTATGTAGATTGTGGTGTTGAAAAGGTTTACAATTCTGCTACAGAAGATCTCTTCCTAGTCTACCTCCAGAAATTTCCAAACTCTGTCATATTTAAATTTTTTCATGCACGTTTTAGTATGTTGAAAGGAGATTTTGCAAATGCACGGTTAAAATTACAGGAGTGCATTTTTACTCAGAATGAATGGAAGCAGGTTCATCACCTCTGTTACTGGGAATTCATGTGGTGCCACATTTTACAGCAGGATTGGAGGCAGGCTTACCACTATGCCAATCTACTGTATCAACAAAGCAGATGGTCCAAGGCAATCTACATGTACAGTAAAGCTATCATCCTGGCTTTGCTTCCTTCTGATTTTGTGAAATCAGTAAGTGAGGATATAAACTCTCTCTTCTTAAAAGTGGAAGGCCTGAGAATCAAATTTTTAGGCAGTTCTGTGCCAATAGAAAAGTTTGTTGCGGGGAAGGGTCAGCGCTATGGCACTACAACAGGCTGGTTTACAGCCCAACCCCTTCTGGAGTTCATTTATGCCTGGAGTGGTTTCCGAGTCATGAGCAAAAAAGTTGAGCTTATTTCAAGCTGGCTATCAATAATTGACAGAGGAGAAGATCTTTTACAAGAAAATCCACATAAAGAGTGTGGCACAGATGACATAAGTTTATTAAATTTACTGAAAGGTCTATGCCTGAAACACTTAGGCAAATACAAAACGGCTGAGTATTACTTTAATCGTGTCATACAAAAGGAGAAATTGTTAAAATATGACCACTATTTGGTACCATATACTTATTATGAACTGGGAATCTTACACTATCTAAAAGGAGACTATGCCAGAGCAACGAAAAACCTAGACAAAGTAAGAAATTACAAAGACTATTCCATGGAAGCCCAGTTACAGTTTAGGACTCACATAGCCCTTGAACAAATAGCTAAAGAAAAATGATTTAAACGCCAAGTGTGGTTTTGTTTAGTGTAAGTGAAATATCTACAGTGATCAGTAATTAACAGGTAGAAAAATCATTTCTTTGTGGAAAAAAATCCAAGAGGTGGCTGCCAAGAATCTGATCAGTAACGAGAAAGGAATTGGCCATGACTTTTCCCCCTTTCTTTCTCATGCCTATAAAATGCGATGTCTTAAAGGAAAATGAGGTGAAGCACAATTTTGAAAAATAAAAGGCAAATGATGTACATTAAAAAAAAAATCTCTCCTATGTTACAAATATATCAATTATATTAGAAAACATTTTCAAAACCTCAAAAACATTTTTAACATCTCACTAGATAACATATACAACTCATAACATATACAACTCATCCCTAGCATACTAGGGATCCCAGTACCCTATACATATTTTTATTTAACTGTGTTTTTTTTTTTTTTTAAAAAAAGACTTCAACTCTCAGCCTTAGAGCCACCTTCTTGGAAACTGCTGTGCCATGAGCCAAGTGGAGGAAGAAGCAAATCCGCAAGCTGAAGTGCAAAAGAAGAAAGATGAAACAGAGGTCCAAGTAAACCACTAGCTTGTGTACCCAGAAACATGAACTGTCAGAGGCTGGAGATGCTGGTACAAGTTGCTGGACTGCATGCTGCTGTCTAGAACTTGTCTAAGTGGATCTAGAGCTTCCATCGCCATCTGATCATGGAAACCACCTGTGAGACCCACCTTGCTCCTAACCAAAACAGCCCATGTTGGTTCTTTGCCCTGGACCTGTGACATTCTGGACTATTTCTGTGTTCACTTGTGGCTGAGTGTAACAAGCATACAATAAATCACTTCTTCTGCTGTCTTAGCTGAAGAATTAAAAAAAAAATTCTAAACAGTGATGCACTGAATGGCACAGACTCTGAATGATTTTTTCCTTATACACAGTCGTTTTGTTGGCTTTTTTTACCAGAGGGGATTGTCCGCCCTGTGTGATCAGTAATATTTCTTACCCTTTTTGTAATAAGAAGCAAAATGTGAGTTTACAGTTTGCCACAGGATAGAGAAGAAAGCCCTCTTTTTTTTCTACACACACATAAGGCCAAGAGGATAGACGCACGGCTATTGGAGGAAGAGTTTGGTTACCATATAGTCCTCCCTTCAGTCGTCCTCCCTAAGGTGTAATTCTCAGTAAGACCAGCTCTTCAACATAATTAAACCGATTGCATCAATCCATTGTGAGTGGGTTAATCTGAAAGTAAATAGCAGCTGTAGGGATGGGGCTTGGTATTATTTTACCTACCTTAGGGATAAAAAAAAAATAATGACCTAATTTCCAGGTGTCTTCCTGGTTGTCGCCCTTTGAAACAGAAGTTGCTAGAAAAGTGTAGCTTGCTAAAAACACATCAACGAAACATACTACCTTAATACTTAGGGTATCCAAACAACCAACTAAAACAAGATGCGGAGCTAGTATTTCAAGGTTTAGCAATGTTTGCTTTTAAAAACATTTTTCTCATAAAATAAAAATAGACTTTGAAGTGAACAATTGTGCTTGAGTTATTCTTTATTATTTAATTAGTATAGTTATACTGGTTAAGAGGGCAGGTTCTGGCCTGGTTACCTGAATTTGTATCCTAGTTCTGCCACTTACTAGCTGTGTGTGGCCTTGGGCCTCTGTACCTCAGATTCCTTGGATATAAAATGGGGATACTAAATAGTATCTGTCTCATGGTTTTGCTGTGTTAAGACTGAGCTAATAAGTTGGGTGCAGTGGCTCACACCTGTAATCCCAGCACTTTGAGAGGCTGAGGTGGGTGGATCAAGAAGGAGATTGAGACCAGCCTGGCCAACATGGTAAAACCCCGTTTCTACTAAAAATACAAAAATAACTGGGGGCGTGGTGGCACACACCTGTAGTCCCAGCTACTCGAGAGGCTGAGGCAGGAGAATCGCTTGAACCTGGGAGGCGGAGGTTTGCAGTGAGCTGAGATGGCACCACTGTATTCCAGCCTGGGCAACAGAGCAAGTCTCAAAAAGTGAAAAATAAAACAAAAATGATACTAGGTAGAGTTTCCAGATAGCTGAACATGGAGGGTGGTGCACCCAGGGAGGGCACAGATGCTCCATGTCCTGTCCCCCATATGCATTGTTTTTTTTGAGGAGGAGGAGGAGTTTCACTCTTGTTGCCCAGGCTGGAGTACCATGGTGTGATCTTGGCTCACTGCAACCTCCACCTCTCAGGCTCAAGTGATTCTCCTGCCTCAGTCTCCCCAGTAGTTGGGGCTACAGGTGCACACCACTACATCTGGCTCATTTTTGTGTTTTTAGTAGAGATGGGGTTTCACCATGTTAAAGGGTTTGAGACCAGGCTGGTCTCAAACTCCTGACCTCAGGTCATCTGCCCACCTTGGCCTCTCAAAGTGCTGGGATTACAGCTGTGAGCCACCAGGGCCAGCCCCTTATATACATTTCTTCATATTTATTCTTTATAATATTGTTTATAAAAAACTGGTAAATGTTGGGTCAGGTAGTGATTGATATAGGAGTACTGAGCTTGAAAGAATCACAAGAACTGGCCCAACATGTAAAATAAATAGAAGCCAATGGCATTGCTGTCATTGCAACTTTTTTTTCAAACCATGAAACAGATGCCCTGATTAATTTCCTAATGGAGGCAGCTGCTGCTACCCCTGCATTGCCATTTTATTGCTATCACATTCCTGCCTTGACAAGGGTAAAGATTTGTGCTGAGAAGCTGTTTGATGGATTCCGCATAAGAGCCCCGCTGACTTTTTTTTTTTTAACATAGAGTCTGGCTCTCTCGCCCAGGCTGGAGTACAGTGGCACTATCATGGTTCACTGCAGCCTCTGCCTCCTGGGCTCAAACAGTCCTCCCACTTCAGCCTCAAGAGTAGCTAGGACTACAGGCACGTGCCACCACAACCAGAACAAATAAATTTTTTTGTAGAGATGGGGTTTCACCATGTTGCCCAGGCTGGTCTTGAACTCCTGAGCTCAAATGATCTCTCTGTCTTGGCCCCCAAACCACTGGGATTACAGGTGTGAGCTAGTGTCCCCGGCCAAGAGCCCCACTTTCTAAAAGCTGAAATTCAGTGGCACAGATCTTAGATTTCAGGCAATGTGTTGATCAGAATCACCAGCAATAGTTTGCCTTCCTTTTGGGGGTGGATGAGCAACTGTTGGGTCCTCTGGTGATAGGAGCAACTGGAGCAGAGGGCAGACTTGTATCCAGAGATTTATCAGCTTTTTGGTCAAACTGGGTTTTCTAGTGTTACAGATCAAAAGTCATCATGGCACTGGTCCTTGCTGTGGAAGAGGGCCCATCCCAGCTTCCACAGCAGAAAGCCTCTAGGGAATTTACTGATAGTGCTGCAGCTTAATTTAAAGCTTGGAATTTTCTCTCTTTCACTGGTATAAAAGATGAAAACTTGGAAGCCTGTAGCCAGTGCCTGTATATCCAGTCAGGGTGTGTACATTGAGACATAACACCCTAAATAGTGCATGCTTTTCTCAGGGACTTTGTTAGACAAACTTGAACTGAACTCTCTCCTAGCAAATAAAATCTTGACTCAATCAACAGATATTTAAATACTTACTGTGAGCCTAAGAAAGTCTCATTTTGTGAAGGGGCAAAAACTCAAAAGAGTCATGAGCCCTAAGTCATTCATTTCACAAATTTTTTGTATAGCATTTTCTGTTTATGTGGATGAAATGGAATCAAGAGGAAAACTGTAATAACTAATTCCATCTGCCTTTGGGAGCTGGAATTAATCACAGTTATCTTGATTTCTAGTTCTTAATCTAATTTTAAAGTTTTCTGCTGGGGGTGGTGGCGCATGCCTGTGGTCCCAGCCACTTGAGTGGCTGAGGTGGGAAGATCAGTTGAGCCCAGGAGTTTGAGGCTGCATTGCACTCCAGCCTGGGTGACTGTGAGACCCAGTCTCTCAAAAAAAAAAAAAAAAAAAAAAAATTTAATGTATAATTTTTTTTGGTGGTGGTGGGGAGGAAGGTAATTTCATCTTAATAAATACCCATTTGGAATCTAGGTAATGTTAGCTACAGCATTTAGGCAGATACTTTAAAACTAAATTATAACATGACTCAACTATATGCAACTAGGAATGCATTAGCTCATTTGGCTGTTCAGTCTAACTCTACAGTGGAAACTTTCAGATTAATTGCAATGTCACTGTTTTCTCCCAATACACTGCCATAGGACCAACAGGTTTGTGTGCCCACTGCACACAAAACAGATCCATTACAGATCCATTACACAGAGACAGCAAGGATATGGCCGAGAGTTTGATGACCGCAGGGTGCTGATTGAGGAGATGGGAAAAGACCCTCAAACCCATCTCTCCAAGGAGTTCTGGGCTTGATTGTTGTTTTTTTTTGGAGTGGGAGTTTCGCTCTTGTTGCCCAGGCTGGAGTGCAATGGCGCAGTCTTGGCTCATTGCAACTTCTGCCTCCCAGGTTCCAGAGATTCTCCTGCTTCAGCCTCCCTAGTAGCTGGAATTACAGGTGTCCACCACAACGCCAGTGTATTTTTAGTAGAGACGGGGTTTTATCATGTTGGCCAGGCTGGTCTTGAACTCCTGACCCCAGGTGATTCACCCACCTCAGCCTCCTAGAGTGCTGGGATTACAGGCATGAGCCTCTGAGATTGGCCCACGGCTTGGGTTTTAAAGGCTTTCGTGAAGGGCAAAGGACCAGAAATTTGGGGTTGTCAATTGGTCAGGGCAAAGGGGACGAAATCATCAGGATGTGGAAACTGCATTCATTGCTGAATCAGCTTTTTCTGGGGTCCCTCAGACCAGCTGGCATCAGTGGGATCCTGCAGATCAGCTGGCCTAATTGTTTTCCCAGTATGTGGGATCTGAAGGCATGTCTCAAAGGGAAAACCTTTAATAATGTTCAAGTTATCTCTAGAGCAGTTAAGGGGAACTAAAATCTTCTAACAGAGTCTAAAGGATCGTAGGATAATAGGCACCAAACAACTATGAGGAAGCAGGTCAGGAGCAAGCTGACATCATTATTAACACTGAATGTGTGGCAAACTTGGTTTGCTTTTGTTTTTCCCCCTCACTTCTTCCCTGATTAATTTTTTTTTTTTTTTTTTTTGAGATGGAGTTTTGCTCTTGTTGCCCAGTCTGGAGTGCAATGGTGCGATCTCGGCTCACCACAACCTCTGCCTCCAGGTTCAAGCAATTCTCCTGCCTCAGCCTGTGTAGTAGCTGGGATTACAGGCACGTGCCACCACGCCCAGCTAATTTTCTATCGTTAGTAGAGACGGGGTTTCTCCATGTTGGTCAGGCAGGTCTCGAACTCTCAACCTCAGGTGATTTGCCCACCTCAGCCTCCCAAAGTTCTGGGATTACAGGCATGAGCCACCGTGCCCAGCTTCCCCAATTAATTTTATAAAATTTTTTTTCCTTTCTTAAATTTATTTGTTTTGTTTTGTTGTTTTTTTGGAGACAGAGTCTTGCTCTGTTGCCAGGCTCCAGGCTGGAGTGCACTGGCGCAATCTTGGCTCACCGCAATCTCTGCCTTCTAGGTTCAAGAAATTCTCCTGCCTCAGCCTCCTGAATAGTTGGGACTACAGGTGCACGCCACCATGTCCAGCTAATTTTTGTTTTTTTCAGTTGAGACGGGGTTTTACCATGTTGGCCAGGGTGATCTCGATCTCTTGACCTCCCAAAGTGCTAGGATTACAGGCGGGAGCCACCGTGCCTGGCCAATTTATTTATTTTTTCTAATCTTATAAAGTTTATAGGGGCAGTTTCAACGTTGGAGTTAGATGAAGACTTGCTTTAGTTCTATAACTAAAAGCTCTTTTAAGGGTGGCTTTCTCACAAAGCAAAGACCTTCTGCAAAGAGGAATTTAAGTTTCCACTTCTTGCAATGCAGAAAACTTCTTGAAGTTTCAAAGATTCAAAGGGCTCTTGCAGGCCTTTTCCCCATCTCTCTCACTAGAGAGAGAGCTGTTTTTTCTTTCTTTCCTTCCTTTCTTCCTTTCTTCTTCCTTCCCTCCCTCCCTCCCTCCCTCCTTCCTTCCTTCCTTCTTTCTCAGCCTCCAGAGTAGCTGGGATTATAGGCATGTGCCACCACACCTGGCTAATTTTTGTATTTTTTTTAGATGCAGTCTTGCTCTGTCACCCAGGCTAGAGTGTAGTGTCACAATCTCAGCTTACTGCAACCTTCAGTTTCCAGGTTCAAGCAATTTTCCTGCCTCAGCCTCCCAAGTAGCTGGAATTACAGGTGCCCACCACTGTGCCCAGCTAATTTTTTTTTGTGTGTGTATTTTTAGTAGAGACAGGGTTTCACCATGTTGGTCAGGCTAGTCTTGAACTCCTCACCTGGTGATCCACCTGCCTCGGCCTCCCAAAGTGCTGGAATTAGAGGAGTGAGCCACTGCCCCCAGCCTAAATTTTGTATTTTTAGTAGCAATGGGATTTCACCATGTTGGCCAGGCTGGTCTCAAACTCCTGATCTCAAGTGATCCACCCACCTTGGC